GCAGCCTCGACCCGCTGGGCTCCGGTGATCCTTCCGCCTCAGCCTTCCAAGTAGCTGGAACTACAGGTACGTGCTACCATGCCTGGCTGATTTTTTGATTTATTGTAGAGATGAGGTCTCGCTGCCCAGGCGGGTCTCGAACCCACGGGCTCAGGCAATCCACTCACCTCAGCCTCCCAAAGGCATGGGATTACAGGCTGAGCCACCGAGCCCGGCTTATATATGAATTTAAAAAATACAGTATTAGTCAGGCATGGTGGGGTGTGCCTGTAGTTCTAGCTACTTGGAAGGCAGAGGTAGGAGGATTGCCTGAGTCCAGCAGGTAGAGGTTGTAGTGGCCAGGAGTGTACCAGTGTCTCCAGCGTGGGCGACAGAGTGATTCTCCAACTCAAAATAAATAAATAAAAGAAAATAAAAAATAGTCAATATTTAATGCGGACACATTTCTATCACAATCATGATAGGAAATGAGTTCAAGGTTTGATGGTTTCATAATATCAATTTATGGTATTTCTTGAATTCTATAACATTTAATCCATTCTACATCTAAACGTAAAAGTATAATTTGTGGATGTCAGCTTTTATTACATAAAATAATGGGTATGCAAAGTTGCTCCAAGTAGTAAGAGTAGAAGTTCATGATCATATACAGCTTGTGTATGATCACATATACGGATCATATATAGATTGTGTTGCTGCCAGAATCAACAGTTGATCAAGATTCACCATCCACTGGTTTTCTCACATCACTATTTGCATTCTATACCTCATCCCTTTGCTGCCAGTCCAAGCAAATAGAAATGACTAAACTAGTAATTATAGTTGTACTTGATTAGTGAAATCACTAACTGCTTGTCTATAGAACTAAACATTTGTGTTATCAAGAAAACCATAGTAAATACACTTAAAATTATTCCAATAACAGAGATTTATCTACTTACATTGCATTCTACTCCTTAATCTTGCAGATTGTCTGGGCCATTCCTGAGAGGTTTTTTCATATCCTGAGCCTGAAGCAAATAATATATCAAAATATTATAATAATTTCTTTTCTTTTTTTTTTTGAGTTGGAGTCTCACTCTGTCACCCAGACTGGAGTGCAGTGG